CCCGGCGTCAGCTTGGGAGCCCTGGAGTTCTGGGGGGAGGGAAGCTGTCAAACGGAGGCCAAGAGAAATGAGGCGGAGGCCGCGAGATGCGGGGAGCCCCGCCCCTCCGCCATAGCGGCCTGGGCGCCGCCTCTTCCCTTACAGCCTCCCGCCCTCGGCTGCTTCCGGCCCTGTGGCCTGGCGGGGCTCTGCCGGCCCCCTCGGGAATGGCCTCTGCGCTGTGTGCCCTTTGGGGTGAAGGTAGATGCCTGGTCCCCGATGGGGATTGAGTCCGAAAGGAGCCGGCCAGAATGAGCTTCGGACAGGGCTGTGTTGGCAGAAGGCGGGGCCCGACTCGGGACGGCCCCCGAGGCCTCTGGCCCTGAGGACGCTGGGTCAGAGCGACTTCGCCAACCCACAGAGGCTTAGTCTTACTCAGAGGGTCCGGGGCTCCAATTCAACAGGCCTTCCCACATTCCCAGGGCCCACCTACCCTAAGCATACCCAAAGAGCATGCTTTGTCCTTGGAGGAGGTACTGGGCTAGGCGTTGGGAGACCTGGTCGTAATCCTGGCTCCGAAACAGTGCATTCCCTTTGGCGGAGGATGCCGGCTGGTCCCAGGAGGTTTTTTTGTGTGTGGGTGGGTTTTTTTTAATTAAAACCATTTCTTTTGGTAGAGACGAGATCTCTCTATGTTGTCTAGGTTGATTTCTAACTCCTGGGTTCAAACAGTCTTCCTACCTCGGCCTCCCAAAGTACTGGGATTACAGACAGGAGCCACCGTGCCCGACTCTTTTTGCTTCTGAAGCCTCGTGGAGCCGGGGGCGATGCCTCACGCCTGTAATACTAGCACTTTGGGGGACAGAGGTGAGAGGATTGCCTACGCCCAGGCATTCGAGACCAGCCTGGGCAGTTTGGCAAGACCGCGTCTTTACCGGGCAAGGTGGCGCGCGCCTGTAGTTATAACTACTTGGAAGGCTGAGGCGGAAGGACGGCCTGAGCCCAGCAGGTCCAGCTGCGGTGGCCGAGAGCATGCCACTGTACTCCAGCCTGCGCCACAGAGTGAAACTCCGACCCCCCAAAAAAAGGCACCCTCTAAGCAGCTTTGGGTGTGTCACTGGACCCCAGTGAGCCTCAGTTTCCACATCCATAAAATGGCGATGGTAATTATATTGCACTCACTGTCTAATGAGATCTCTGGGGCCTGTTTATCTCACGGGAAAATAAAAGAGTGAAACTAAGTTGATCTGTAAGCGTCATGCCAGCTAAGAGTACGTGATTTGGCAAAGGGGTTGTTGGGCAATGGCTAGTAATTAGCAGAGAGGAAGGATTGGCTAGGTTTGTTTCTACTTGGTTTACCTGTAAGAAAAGTGTGAGCTACAAATCTGTGGTCGCTGAGGCTAGAGTTCGGCACTGGAGAGAGGAAAGGAAGAATGCAAGCCTGATCAAGAGGCAGAGGTGGGTTAAGTGCTTTTTGGTTCCCAACTTCGCTTCCTCGTGTGGGTGGGAAGCGGAAGAAGGGAAAAGAGTGAATTTACTCTAGGATAGGGGAGGAGTAGCCATGCGTGATTTCTCTCGATTTAGAGAGGTATCTGTTAGAAATGGTGGGGTGGATTCACAAACTACCGCCGCTCTTTGAGGTTTTTAGAAACTCGCCTTTGAACTGAATCTTCATGAGCAAACCGATGTGGAATTGAAGGCCCCTCCCTTCCTTCAGGCCCGCTGGAGATGGAGTAAGCAGCAGGCGCCCCCTTGTGCCGAGGAGAGAGTACTGTTGCTGTTGGCCTACTTTGCTCCCTTTCTGGGGAAATTTTATTTTCCTGTGACTTTGTCGTCTCATGGTGGGAGGAATACTTGGGGCAGTGATTTTATATCTAGAGTCAGTCAGTATACTGGTGATGCTGTCCTGTCCCTACCACTTCCACTCATTCACAACACAGGTTTAAGATGCCTGTTTGTGTGCTAGGGGATAGGGTTATGAAACAAAGACCCAAACCTTACAGGCACTTAAATGAGCCATAGCAATACAGGCGACAAGGCACAGGGCAGTGAGAGCATATTATGAAAACATAGCACATAGTCTAGTGGGGATCAGAGAAGAATTCCAGAAACAGGTGATACCTAAAGGTTTGGCAGGTATTTGCCAGATAAGAAAGTCTTCCAGCCTTCCTCCTCACATTTCTCGGTTCAAATAGTTTTTTGTTTTGTTTTTTTTTCAGTTGGAGTCTCACTCTCGCCCAGACTGGAGTGCAGTGGCAGCTTCCGGCCACCGCAGCTTCGTCTGCTGGGCTCCGGCGATCATTCCGCCTCAGCCTTCCAAGTAGCCGGAATTACAGGCATGTGCTACCACGCCTGGCTGATTTTTTTGATTTATTGTAG